AATGTAGGAACTGTACTGCGCCTCCGCCGAATTGCAGCTTCTGCTCGTGTAGGCCACTACCTTCTTCTCTCCCTTCACCTCTTGGCAAAGTATCCCCCCAATCCCTTGGCTGCTCCAGTCAGTGTAGAGGGTGAAGGGCTGGTTTGCAGCTGGCAGTTGCAGTACGGTGGCTGTCTTCACTGCGGCCATCAAGTCCTGCAACGCCCCCTTCTGTGCTTCCCCCCACTCCCAGGCCCTGTCCTCCCTCAATAGCCCATTCAACGCTGCTGCTCGCTTGCTGAAGTTGGGTACAAACCGCCGATAGTAGCTCAGGAAGCCCAGCACTGCCCTGAGCCCCGACTTGTCCTTGGGCTCCCGCAGCCGGTCCAAGACCTCCACCTTTGCCTGCTGGATCCCAATCTGCCCCCCTTTCACCTTGTATCCCAGGTACTGCACCGTCTGCTCCCCCCACCTGCACTTCTTGGGGTGGCATGTAAGCCCTGCTGCCTCTAGCGCCGCCAGCGTCTTCCCCACATCTTGCAGGTGCTGCTGCTCAGTGGTGCTGAAGATCACCACATCATCTATGCAGCAGGCCGCGCAGTCTACATCTTGCAGCACCGCATCCATAACCCCCTGGAACACGGCTGACGCATTCCTCAATCCAAAAGACATGTACAGCCACTCTTACAGCCCATCGGGCCCATGGAACGCAGTCTTCTTTATGTCCTCCTCTCTGATTTTGATTTGATTGAACCCCTGCCGCAGGTCCAGCGTCGTGAAGAAGACCCCTTCTGCTAGCCTGTCAAAGATTTCTTCCGCCATCGGCATCGGGTACGTGTCGGCTATGGTAATCTTGTTGAGCGCTCTGTAGTTGCCACACATCCTCCTGCTCAGTACCTCCTCTGTCAGGTCCTTCCTTGCAGCCACCACTGTTGGCGTAGCATATTCAGATTCGGAGCGTCTAATCAGTCCTGCTTCCAGCAGCTCCTTAATCTTCTCTTTGCATATTTCCTCATCCCCGTGCGGCATCTTCCTCCTGCGATGAAACACCGGCTCCGTGCTATTCAGTTTCAGCTCCATCTCCTTCACCTTGCACCGTCCCAACTCCTGCAGCGTGAAGGCAAAGCACTTCCTGTGCTTGTGCAGCAGCTCCGGCATTGCCCCCCTTCCCTCTTTACTCAGCGCCTCTCCCACCGTCCATTGTGGTCTCTCTTCCTCCCTGCATGCCCATGCTCCTTGTGGGACCGCTACCGCATCCGTTCCCTTGGCCTCATGCCCCCAGCTCAAGACCGTCTCCCTCCACATCCTTTGAACCAGCCACCTCATCATATGCCCATCCATGGCGTTCTCCAGTGCCCTCCTCCTCTCCTCTTCACTCACCCCTGGGGCTGCTGTCACGTTCTCCCCGTACCCCATGGCCAACTCTCTCTCTAACGCCGTCGGTTCCTCCCACCGCCCCTGTCTGTGATCATACACCAAACCTGGCCCCGGCTTTCCCCCATCCCACTTGTAGCCGGCTGCCCCCACATACGACACCAAGGTGGGCAGGGCTCTCCTCTCTCGCCCCACCTGGTTGCACGGGCAGTGTGCCTGTCTCACTGGTGCAGGAGTCCGCCCTGGTTCCAAAATGTCCTGCACCCTTCTGTCCGCCGCTCTCTTCACCCCTTCCACCTCTTCTTGCAGTTGCAGCACCGTGGCGACGTTCTGCCAATACATCCTGAGCCGATGTGCATAAGACCCCATCCTAGCTGCGTCACAGCTGACCCCCTTCCCCAACTGTTTGCTGATTCTCTCTCTCACCAACCGGATCGGCTCGCGGCAATCTCCTTCCAAGTCCAGATTCTCTAGCAGGTACGCCACCCTTCCCTGCCTCTCTTGCAGCCACTCCAAAATGTGGAACAGACTCTCCATCAGCTTCGTCCTCGAGTCTTCTCCTCCCTTCCCCTTTCTAGCCCATGACACCCCTTGACACTCCCATCCTGCTACCAGTAGATCCACTTGCCCCCAGCTGGCCACCTGCGCCTCTGTCACCTGGCTCACGTCATGGAGGGTGCTGCTCATGGCACCCTGAATCACCGCCGCGCTCAGGAGCTCTGGGAACTCGGCCTGCAGCCTCCACGCATGATGCTCCGCCATCCTCCTCACCTCTGGCGCTCGCTCTACATAGATCCACTGCTGCACCACTATCCCATTCCGGACCACCGCTGCCAGCCCTGCCCCAATTCCGCCGAACAGCTCCACCAAGCAAATGGGCTGCTGCCAGTTGCTCTGCTTCTATGGGGCGTCCATCAGCCTCATCCTAGGCCCCTCCTTGATCTCCTCTGCCCCCACCTGTTCCTCTCCCCCTGTCTGCTGCTTCCCCACATCCTCTTTTGCGCGGGCCTGGTATGCCCTTTTGGCTCCACCCTAACAAATTGCACTGGCAGTTGCCCCAAGGGCCCCTCCTTCCAGTACCTCGTGCGGAATTCTACCTTCTCTGTCCAGGTGCAAATGCTCATGCCCACCGCAAACACTATCTCCGTCCCTACCAACACATCAAAGTCTTCGAATTCTGAAATCCCGCATTTCATCCTGATCCGGGTTTCCTGCTCCCCTCCTGGCAGCAGGGTCAGCTCTATGGGTGTCCGTGTGCATGGCATCCACTTCGGCTCCCCCCCTTCTGCTGTCATCACCAATATGCCCTTTGCCACTTGCCTCTCCGGGGCCATCAGTCCTAGCCGTTCTGCCATTCCCTTGCCTAACATCACGCTCTGTGTCCCTGTATCAATGATGGCCGTCTTCACCTTCCTCCCTTCTACCTCCATTGCTCCTGCCCCCACTAGTAGCACCGACGTCTGACATGCCAGTCTCTCTTGCAGGTGGTGGGCAGGAGGATTCTCCTGCGCCATAGGGTCGGGCTGGTGTCCTCGTTCCCGCTTTTTCCTGCCGTGCTCCTGCCTGCCATCCCGTCCCCCGCTCCGCAGCCCCATCTCTTCTCTCCCCCTCCATGCCATCAGGGCACACTGAGCATCCGGCTCCACCTCCTCCCCTTCATCATCCCTGGCGTACATTCCTGCCTCGGCCTCCCACCTAGGCCCCATGGCTTGCAGCTGAGACTGTAACCTGCTGATCTGCCTTTGCAGCTCCTCTGGATTCCTCCTCACTCCCCCTTCCTTCTGATAGCACTCCTTGGCATCATGCCCCCGCTTCCCACAGATCTCGCACCGAGCTGCATCAGGACATTCCCTCTTTCGGTGCCCCAGCTTCCCACAGCCATCACAAACCTTGCAGTCCCTACGGAGGTGCCCCACCTGCCCGCAGCGGTGGCTTGTGTGGGTATGTGCCCGCATCTCCCCTCGCGGGTCCGCCCTCCCCTTCTCCTTGTTAGTCGCGAAACGCCTCACGGGAGGCTGACGCGGCCTTGACGGGGCCTGAACGGGCCCTTCACGCGATCCTGATGCGTCCTGATTTCGAAATCAGCTTCGCATGGCTTTCACGGGGCATTCACGGGCCCTACACTCGAGTGAAACAGATTCGGCCCTTCGCGGGGCTTTGACGGGAGTCTCGCGGCTGAAATTTCTATCACTGTTGCTTGCCTAAGCCTTCACAAAGGCTTCTCCGTAGGTTTGACGCGAATCTGACGGGGAGTCTTACGATGTGTCACAAATTTCGACCAATCAGTGTGCAACACAATTTGAAGCGAGAGAATTTCCAAAAAGTGTCACTCCAACAAACTGGTACAACAAATATATAGGTTCAAGCAAGGTACACAAGTGAGCTAGGTAACCAAACGTGTTCAACACGTTACGCCTTGCCTCGTTTCATCCCGCGTCGCACACACAACCTTTTCCACCTTCGTCGAACGCGCCTGAAGTCCGCATTTGGTTCCTTGTTGAACACGCCACAGTTTACCCACTCATTTTCCCCCGTCAACCAATTTCTCCCTGGTTCTTCACTTCTCTTTTCACCCGTCAATAATCTTCTTCACTCCTTTCGTGTTTCTCTTGCCGTAGTTCCCAAGCAATGTCGAGCTTCCTCTCTGGTTCCCAAGGCACTTTCAACACGCCACTGTCAGTCCGTCGTAGTCGTCAGTCTGAATTATGAGCGCCGTCGTTAGTGTGGTTCCGCGAACCACTCCAACACTCCTCAGGTATCATGGCTGCCGCCCATGTTGGCCAGCGGCTTCTCTCTGTTGGCTTCGGGAGGTAGGCTTCATATTTCTGCTACGCCAGCTCTACCTTCCCGGCCAACTCAAACACCTCCTCCAGAGCCGCCTCTGCCCCTAACTCGTCTCCCCTCATCCTCAGCCCCCCCCCCAATGCCTCGTCCAAGCCTCCCAGGAACTTGCTAATGAGCAGGCTGTTGTCCGCGCACTTCACGTCCTCTGCCACGTTGATCAACCTATTGTAGTAGGTCAGCAGGGACTCCGCCCGTCCCCTCCGGAACTCTTGGAACTCCCTTATCCGCTCCGCCGTATGCCCTGGGAACTGCCGCTGTAGCCGCTCCAGAAACGCCTCGGTGGGGTTCTCTCCATACTTCCCTGCCCTCCATAGCAATTCCTCCATCCGCATGCGGTACAGCGTTTCTGCCTCTCCCTCCAGCGTGTTGGGTAAACTCAGGAAAAAGTCTACGGGGTCTACATTGTGCCTATCCCAGCGGTACCGCAGATTCCCCACTTGCATCAAGTAGTTTTTGAGGGTCGGCCCCGCGCGTTGGTCTTCTGAGAACCTAGCGGGCACCTCCACACGAGGCGCGCTAGCAGCACCCCCCCGCCCCTCTCCCCACGATTCGCTATATCCACCCGGCCGACTGCTCCCCACCCCTCTCGCCCTTGCCTTCAACATGCCCTCTCTGGCCTCCCGTGCCCGCTCCGCACCGTACACCAGGCTCCCGCTCTCTGGCCGACTCCACTCCGCCGCACGACACCCTTCCTTTGGCCCTCCCCACTCCTTCGTCCGAGCCCATTGCTGTGTCGGCGGGCCATACATCCTCCGCCCCTCTCCTCTGCTTGTCCTCGCGGTGCCTACGTCTCTCTGGCGACGATGACCAGGCCTCCCCACGTCCACTGGGCTGTTGGCGGTGCTCAAGCGAGTGCCCGTCTTCTTCCTCCTTGCCCCTTCTCTGGCGGCGCCCCTCTGGCGAACGGGACCCGCTGTTGTCCCTCCTCCCTCCCTGCCTGGTCCGCTCCTGCCCGCGCGTCGCGCTGCCGCGCTCCACTGACAGCCTCCAGCGCTGCTCCTGCGGCCACTGCTCCGCCCGGTCTCTCCTCCCTGGGCGCCCATATGTCTCTGGAGCGCGCGGCTCATCCTCCCACCGATTCCTGCGTGCCTGCTGCCGCTCCAGCGGCTACCCGCCGTCGCCACTCCAATCTCCCCGCTCTCCCCATCGGTCATGCGCCCTGGAATCCCCTCCACGTCCGTCTCCACGCTGCTGCTCTCTTTCTGGCGCGTGGATCCGCTCCGCCCTTCCCGCGCCCCGCTGCCTTTGTCTCCGCGTCTCGCGCTCCCTCTCATCTTGGGCTATCCGCTCCTGCTGAAGCGCGTCCTTGGCGCGCTGCTCTTCCCCACTGCTGGCCTCGCGGCCGTGCTATCCCTCCGCCTGGCTCGCGCCAATGTTCTCGTCCGCCTGTGCGTGTTCGGCGTGTTCCGCGTCATCGCCGTGCTCGTCGAATTCCGCGGCCCGGTCTTCGTCGTCATCTCCCTCCTTGGCGCTTCGTCCTGCAGCCCCTGGCCCTCCTCGTCCGCTTCTGCGTCTAGCGCTCCCTCCACCACTGGCCCCGCGCCGTCCGGTGTGCCCTCCGTGCGGTCGTCGCCGCGGGCATCTCCTTCTCGTTCCCGGGGAAATTCCCCGAAGCCCTGCCAACGGCCGCGGTCGTCACGGCGCCGTCCTCGCCCCTCTTGGGAGCGGAACCTCCCTTCCTCGCAGCGCCCGTCGCTGCTTCCTCTTGACGGTCACGGGCTAAGGGAACTCGATCTGCGCGGAAGGCCGGCCTACATGGCGATCGCTCTACCGATCGCCCTCGCTCGCGTGACGGCTCGCTTTGCGGCCGTTCTTCCTCGCGACGGCTAAACATCCTACCCCAAACGCAATTCATATTTATCCATACTTGCGCCGGTTCAGTCCTTAGGCTTGTTATGAAAGAGCTCCCTCCCTCAACCCATAGGTTCCTCTCTTAGTGACTGCCACGGTGTGCTAGAGCTTAGATGACAAGCTGCACATTTCCCAAATGTGCGGCTCGGGATTGGTGTTCCCTGATTTCACAATTCGCCCTTCCGTCCCTTTCCCCCGTGATTCCAACCGCTTCAATTCGGTTCCCCCCTACTACACTCCTCTACAACAATCATATCGCTACATTCTACACACCTATGCTAGTATCATTGTATAAGCTTTCCTACACATATAGTCCTTATCTTAGCATCATAACTACACCTGCATTCTACTGTTATAACATATGCAATGGTCCGTATATTGATAAGCCAGAAGGGTACACACATGCAATGAGAGACAGCAAGGTGCTAATATGCAGGGTAGCCTAGACTATCCAACCCTTCTGTGCCACCTAGAGCTCAAGAAGAGGCTCCAGGACAGTAAAACAGTCCCCAAGGTATAATTCCTGCCCTATCCCTCCTACAGGTGGGTTCTCTGCAACAGCCGCCTCCCCTAACTTGATCATGAGACCCACAGATTGGGCCCTCTGCAGTGCAACCGACCACCTCTGCCTGAACTGGTGCAGGAACTTCGCGGCATGATAGGATTTGGAGTCGACGTTGAAGTATCGCCGAGCCGCCGTGTCTGCAAGGAGTTTCAGGAACACAGGGACCTCAGCACAAGGGCAGCCGTAGGTCTCCACTGCGAGGGGAAAGAAACCTACTGTCTCTGGCCAGTTTTCATAGTGCTTCATCTTTTTATCCGCCTGCTCCCGGGCTGCCCATCCCCTGCCTTTCCGTGCCTCCGGGTCCCTGGTGCTAATAGGATCTGTGACCGTGACATCACACACCCAAACCGCCCCACTACTTTTGTCTGTCATGGTAAAATCTGCCGTCTGCTCCTCTATGGGGCAGTAGACGTTTGTCTCCCTATGTACTATGAACCCCGCATCTTGCGCCATGCTGATACACGCGTTGCGGAGTTCGTTATGAGTATTCGTCCGGTGCTTCCCCGTGGCGCACCGGAAGAGGTGGTTGGGGAGGCGCGGGTCTGTGATAGCGATGTGTTCTGCACAGTCACACTTCTTCGGAGTACAGAAAGGGAGGCCCAACCGGAAGCGCACGGCGTTGCTGAAGTGTACCGGGCCGATGCGACGTGAGGACGCTACCGGTATCGCCGTCAGCCAGACCCTTGTGCCGTAGCCTGTGAGTGAGAACATTCCCTGTGTGTGCCCAGAGAGTGGATTCAGTCTCATTCGTCTCGTCTCTTGGACCTGTACCGCGTACCTACTCCCCTGTAATTTCAGGGCCAGAGTGTGCTGGAGCTTGATGTCCGACCGAGAGAGCCGCTCCTGGTAAACTACGTCGCGTGCGTCAGAGGGCAGGGCAGTCTCGCACTCTGTGAGCCAGAAGTGAAGCGGTGTGGTGACGTCCCGGGGCAGAATCATGTGGCCGTGTGCTCGGGTTAGTGCTGTGGCTGGTGCTAGCGTCAGGGAGGAAAAGAAGAGCGCGGCCTGTGTGAAGCTGGCTATGAAGCCGTAGACGCCTTCTACGAGTGGGTCCGTGATTCCTAGGCCGCCCAAGGATGATGGAAGCGAGGCCTGCGCCCACACTCTCAACTGCTCCGTGCTACAAGTAGGGACTCTAATCCCGCAGGATGTCAGGAGCGCGGCTAGGAGGTCTCTCTGTCAGAATCCCAACCACTAGACCATTGGGATGAAAGGGCTTGTTTCAGTAGCGGGTCAGTGCGCCCATAACCCCCCAGGCGAACGCGCCTGTAACCCTCTCCAGGATCAATCGGGCATCCACAGTGCAGATCTACTGACACCCCCCCACACTGGGAGGTCCAGGACTAAGCACAGCGGCAACGGCCTACATGTGCATACACCGGGACTCGAACCCGAGACCGCTCTGATACCATGTCAGAATCCCAACCACTAGACCATTGGGATAAAAGGGCTTGTTTTAGTAGCGGGTCAGTGCGCCTATAACCCCCCAGGCGAACGCGCCTGTAACCCTCTCCAGGATCAATCGGGCATCCACAGTGCAGATCTACTGACACTCTCCCCCACTGTGCCCAGGTGTCTCGTGGTAGGAGGTTCAGTGGTGTAGTCCTAGTGAGGTATGCGACGCGTCTGGAAATGCAGCAGGTCAAGAGCAGGGAGGCTACTTGGGGGCCGGCACGTTATAAGAGCGGCAGCGGCTTCGCCATTTCCTCTAGCTGCCCCGCCAGGAATTTGGCCGCGCCCGCCGCTGGCCCCAGGAAGCTGCCTAGAAGGCGTATCCCGTCCTTGGAAAACGGGACCCCTGGTGGCAGCTGAATTGGATCGTCGCCCCTTGTGCTCCATGCCGCACATTTCTGTGGATTATGTTTAAGGCCCAGCTGCGCTAGCTTGCTTGTGAAGAAATTGAATGCTGCTACAGTGTCCGTGTCGTCCCCCAAAAATGTCACGTCGTCTGCATACGCCAAGCAAAGAACGTGGGGGTGTGCGTCCGCAGTTTCGCGAAGTGCTGGGTGAATCCCTGCTGCAAACAGTAGAGGGCCGAGTGGGTCCCCCTGCCTCACCCCGCGTTCGCTATTTAGCGGGTTGCTGGCGAAGTTCAAGTCGAGGTACAGCTTCGATGGGTTACCGTACGTTAGCCGCACCAGAGGGAGCAGTGACGAAAGGTTGTTGTCGCGTAACCCGTTGATGATTGCCTGTCGCGAAATGCTGTTAAAAGCGTTTGAGATGTCGGTCTGTAGCACCACGCAGCCGTCCCTCGAGTCGATGAAGGCACGTGCGACATGGATGTTTGCCTCTGCTCCCCCTGGTACCGCCACCCCGTACTGTAGTGGCAAGAAGTGGTCACGTGCAGCTTCTCCAATTGCGGTCAGAGCTGCCTTGGCCGCGAGGCGCGTCAGGCATTCGCCAATTGCAATTGGCCAAACCCCCCACCTGGCTTGGACAGCGCAATTAGGCGTGAGGCTGTCAGCAGGTCTGCCACTGGCTCGGGTAATTTGCCTGTCAGGATAGTGTTGATCAAGGCATGCAGGTGGGTGCAGACCGATGCGTTGGTTGCAGATGCAGCGCGAAGGTGTTCGAAAGCGGTTCCGGACGGTCCAGTCCCCACCCCATTCTCGCACCGACCCAGAAGTTTGGAGAAATCGGCGTGGCTGATTTGGAGGTTCGGGCCAGGTGCTGTTGGCCAGCTCAGCTCCTCGTCGTCGGCTCGGGGGTGTTTTGCGCGAAGATTGCTAGGCCTGGCGTGCAGACTGGGGTTGACTCGAGGGCCAGCACGGCTCGCCGTAGACTTCCACGCTTGGCCAGGCCCTCTGCCCTGCTGAGTACTCCCGCCTCGTCTGGCTGGTGACGTGTTGGCGGTGGGGTATTGATGGCTGCAATTCTGCCAGAGTACAGCTGCCCCCATTCGCCACGCTGGAAAGCTCTGAGACGGGCTTTGACTTCGGGCCACTTCGGTCTTCTAGGCGACGTTTGGCGAAGAGTGAGCCGAGGGAGAAACAGCAGCAGACGCCACCCTGCGACCGAGTCCGGATTTTGCGCGAGGTGAAGGAGCGGGGTGAGTAACACAAGTGAGAACAGCTGACATAAATTGGGCGGTGTTGCTCTGGTGCTCCTTCAACTGTGCTCCCTTGTCGTTCTCCAACACCAATATTCCTAAGGGCCGCACTTCCCTCACCCTCCATCTCTCTAACCCCACCCCGACATCCAAGGTATCTTGCTTCGCCCGTTTCAGGTACACTTCTTGCCCCTGGCTCACCCCCTTCTTCACTCTGCCCCCCAACCCTTGATTCTGTCGCTGCTCATATCGCCTGGCATCCCTCAGCTGTGTAGTGTGGAGGTTCTCCAGCGCTGCTGACATAACCACCCGCAGGTACCTGGCCCTGGCTTCTGAAAGTGCAACCCAGTTGGGAATGTTGCCTGCTTTCACCGTGTCTGTGAGGACCCGCGGGCTCCTACGAGCAAGACTGGTTCACAGCCGAACAGGAGGCTGTAAGGCGAGTGATCCTTCAAAGCCGCCTGCTTCCCGAATCTGTATCTCGCTGCCACCCAATGTAATTCATCATCCCAGTCCCGCTTCCTCTTCTCCCCATATGCCCTAAGCCCTCTCTTGAGAGTATGAACCAGCTGCTCTGTCAATCCATCACTTTGTGGGTGATAGCGTGACGTGGGCCAGTGCATAATCCCCGCCTCGTCCAAAAGCTTCTTGAACTCCCCTTAGAACTCTGTCCCCTGGTTGGACCAACTGACCTGTTGGTCCAATGGACCGGCTAGACCAACTGGCTTGTTAGTGCAATGGACCGGCTTGACCAACTAGCATGGTGGTCCAATGGACCGCTTGGACAATTAGGCCTCTTCGTCCAATGGACCAGTTCGACCAACGAGCCTAATGATCCAATGGACCAGCTGGGCCAACACGCCTGTTGGTCTAATGCACCGGTTGGACCAACTGGCGTGTTGGTCCAATTGACCGAATGGACCAACGGTCCTGCTCGTCCAACGGACTAGCTGGACCTTCTGGCCTTTCGGTCCAATGGACCGCCTGGACCGATTAGCCACTTCGTCCAAAAGACCGACTAGACCAACTGGCCTATTGGTCCAATGGACCGGTTGGACAAACCGGCCTCTTGGTTCAATGTACCGGTTGGAGCAACAGGCCTGTTGGTCCAATGGACCGGCTGGACCAACTCGCCTGTTGGTCAAATTGACTAGCTCGACCAATTGGCCTTTTGGTCCAATGGACCGGCTAGACCAACTAGCCTGTTGGTCCAATCGATCGACTGGACCAACAAGCCTATTGCTCCAATGGACCGGTTGTATCAACTTGTCTTTTGGTCCAATGGATCGGCAGGACCAACTGGCCAGTTGGTCCAATGGACCGCCTGGATCAACGGGCCTCTTGGTCCAATGGATTAGCTGCACC